TGCCAAGCAGGACCTACATTACTCAGGAGGAAAAGGCACTCCCAGGGCATAAGCCTATGAAAGACAGGCTTACTCTGTTGATGTGTGCTAATGCTAGTGGTGACTGCAAAGTGAAGCCTTTATTGGTGTATCACTCTGAAACTCCCAGAGTGTTCAGGAAAAACAATGTCCTCAAGGCTAATTTGTGTGTGATGTGGAGGGCAAACAGTAAGGCATGGGTCACTAGAGACCTTTTCTATGACTGGTTACACCATGCATTTGCCCCCACTGTGAAAAATTACCTCCTGGAAAATAAATTGGACCTTAAGTGCCTCCTGGTATTAGACAATGCTCCTGGTCATCCTTCAGACGTGGCAGAGCAACTTTCTGGGGACATGAGCTTCATTAAGGTCAAGTTTTTGCCTCCTAATACCACTCCTCTCCTGCAGCCCATGGACCAGCAGGTCATTACAAACTTCAAAAAACTCTACACAAAAGCTATGTTTGAAAGGTGCTTTATAGTGACCTCAGAAACTCAATTGACTCTAAGAGAGTTTTGGAGAGATCACTTTAGCATCCTCAATTGTGTAAACATTATAGGTAAGGCTTGGGAGGAAGTGACTAAGAGGACCTTGAACTCTGCTTGGAAGAAACTGTGGCCAGAATGTGTAGACAAAAGGGATTTTGAAGGTTTGAGGCTAACCCTGGGAATCCTATGCCAGTTGAGGAATCCATTGTGGCATTGGGGAAGTCCTTGGGGTTGGAGGTTAGTGGGGAGTATGTGGAAGAGTTGGTGGAGGAGGACAATGAAGAACTAACCACTGATGAGTTGCAAGATCATCTTCAACAGCAAGAGGCCAGACCTGAGGAAACTGCTCCGGAGGAGGGGATAGAGAAATTGAGGAAGTTGCCTACTTCAAAGATTAAGGAAATGTGTGCAATGTGGCTTAAAGTGCAAACCTTTTTTTAATGAAAATCACCCTCACACAGCTATTGCAAGCCATGCTGGTGGCTATTACACTGACAATGTTGTGAAACACTTTAGGAATGTCATAAAGGAACGGGAGGTACAGGCCTCTATGGACAGATATGTTGTGCGGCAGAGGTCCAGTGACTAGTGGCATTAAAAGAAGAAGGGAAGTAACCCCAGAAAAGGACTTGACACCTCAAGTCCTAATGGAAGGGGATTCCCCTTCTAAACATTAACACCATCCACACTCTCCCCTCCTCCCATCCCATCAATCATCACCAGATCTTCAATAAAGGTAAGTGTCATGTAATTGTACATGTCTTCTTCAGTTTGTGTGTATTAAAATTAATATTTCATGTGGTAAAATTTTTTTTTTTTCATACTTTGGGGTGTCAGGAACGGATTAATTTGATTTTCATCATTTCTTATGGGGAAAATTAATTCGGCTAACGATAATTTCGCTTAATGTTGAGATCTCAGGAATGGATTAATATCGTTAGGCGAGGGTCCACTGTATTTACATATATACAGCCACTGGACACGTTTCTAGAACTGCTGCAACTTGTGGAAGTCCTTGAAACAAGGTATCATGCACAGAAGTACCTTATGTTCCTCGCACATAAACTGAGTATCTTTCTGTCTTTGTTGACGTCGTTTTGTTTGTGCACAGACAACACATCTCTTCTGGACAAATTTCTTCTTAGTTGCAGGAAGCTGTATTAGGAAGTGATCACCTTCCCTCCTCAAACGCTTGGGTATTTCCTGAGGAGTTCGAGGACAGTTTTGTATAGCAGGTGTTGTTACCTGGTACTTCACTATGAGTTGTCTGGCAACAGACAAACAAAATTCACCATACGGTGGTCTGTTGCCGGTCTTTATTTGGTACATACATGTATTATATGCACTGAGCATTGAAATGTCCATGAGATGGAAGAAAAGTTTCATGTACCACTTGTAACTCTTACGAACACAATCAACAAAGCCTATCTGCATGTCACATTTGTCAACCAAATGCATATTTTGTGTATAATCAATCATTGTCACTGGTTTTCGAATATGTTCATTAGTCACTCTATCAACTTTGCCACTTTCTTGCATTTCGTTAGGGTGAATGGTTGTCAACAATGTGACATCATGTTTGTCATGCCACCATAATGCCATGATGTCATTGGCAGTAAACACCTGCACCTCACCAGCACTAGTGCCTGTGTTGAACCTGAGCATATGTTTACGATTAAAACGCACTGTGCCACACACATCTGTCATGTTCACTCGCCAGAAATCACTGAGTAAAGAGCTTGTGTACCAGTTATCAGTATATAATGTATGCCCCTTACCAAAATAAGGTGCCATCATGTTTCTCACTACGTCACCTGAGATACCCAATAATATCCTGGTATCTTTCAATGTTTTACTTCCTGTGTATACAATAATATCCAATACCAGGCCACTGTCACAGTCACAGAGTACAAACAGTTTTATACCAAAGAGTTTCCTTTTGCTCGGTATATACTGCTTGAACGACAGTCTACCTTTGAACATAATCAAAGACTCATCAATTGTAAGATTCTTGAATGGATAAAAGTACATGTTGAACTTTTGTTTCAGATACATAAAAACATTTCTAATCTTGTATAACCTGTCACTTCTGTCAGGCCTGGTTTTGTCAGAGAAGTATAACATATGTAACAGTAAGATAAACTTGTTCAATGGGATGATTTCACTGAAGGCCGGGGTACAAATTAGCCGATCTGTGGACCAGTATGATTTTATATTATGCTTACAGACATGAGGCATAAGCATTATTGTTGCAAAAAAGCAAATACATTTCACCCACAGTTGTCTCTTTCCACCGGTGTGGTCTTGACTGTAGTGATATGATCGTATTTGCCATGGTGTACTCAAAATACTTGTTACTTTCCCTAACAATAATTTCCATCAAGGGCTGGTCAAAAAATAGTTCAAAGAATTCCAGTTCATTTGCAGTGTTTCCAAGGGAACAAGCTGGTAGTATTCCACTTTGAGAGTCGTCAAACTGATGGGGAGTGGGAACAAAACTGGGATTTTTGCTGCCAATCCCAGATGTGGTTTGCTGGTGGATACTGGACATCATACCCTGGTTGTGGTTGTAGTTGTAGTTGTGGTGTGGTGGTGGATGACACTCTGGTTTGTCCTTGAGCTGAGGAGTCAGCGGCGTGGGGTCCCAGTCTGGGCTGGTGAGTCATGCATGGCCGTGGCACTACCATCACCACTATCACTATCACCACCAATACCACCACCTACTGATGCCTGTGGTCTATCCATGCCAAGTGTAGCCACATCATCCTCATTTTCACTGTCTATTCCTATTCCTGGTGTAGGGCCACGGGATGTACTCCAGGATGTACTCCATCCCCTGGGCACTGCATAGGGAACACTACCCGAGTGCATGCGGCGGCGTATGTACCAACGCTTCACTGGTGAATATGATTCATCACTATCACTACTCGAATGATCATCAAGAGCAATAAATCACAGTCCACATCACTACGATCATCAATACTGAAGTCTGAGACCTGGCCATGCAAAAATATTAGTTTTCTCTTGCAACGAGGTACAACTGAATGTGACTGAGACATGCTCACACCAGGGGTAGAAGGTTGAGGATCATCAGGATTTTCTGCACTATTTTCGATATCCTGGTCATTGCTTTCGGTCACTAATCGATCAAAGCCATAGAATTATTCTTCTTTTCCACTTCCATTAGAGTCAGAACTATTATTTACGAAGAGGAGAGTCCCAATTCGCCTCGAGTGAGAGCTGCCATGCGGAGAGGCATGGTGAACAAAGGTTACTGAGGCGGCGTTCCCACAATGCCATGTGGGTGCCTAGAATGTTTGCTTACGGCGCACACACACCACGCAGACCCGTTCTCTCAGATGTAGGCCTACCAGCCTTCTCGTGCTAAATCTGACACCGCTAGAATTTTGGCATAGATCTACAGTTTGAATCCTTAACATATAGCTGTAGATCTACAGTACGGACCCTGAAAGGGTTAATATATCACTACCTCACCTATGTTATTTGTGACTGGGGATCAACCACAGCCAACCACCTGAAACCTTTAATAGCCCAACAAAAAGCTGCTGTGTGGATGATTACCAGCTCCTGTGCTAGACAGCACACTCCACCACTTTTCAAAAGCCTGAACTTGCTAAATATACAAGACATACACTCAAATTATTGTGCCTACTACATATAGAGAACATTAAACTCCAATATAAACCCTCGACTTAAGCTTTTCCTTGATAGCTACAACAGAATGCACAGTCACAATACAAGGCATAAGACACTCTTTGACATCCCTCGTGTCAGTCTCACACTATGTAAAAATGAAATGCACATAAAGGGCCCAAAGATCTGGAATTCACTACCTGAACTGGTAAAGGATCCCCTGACTACATGTACTTATAAATTTAGGACTTTACTTAAAAATCATCTCATCTCTCAATACTAACCAAACCAACCAAAACAACTTCAAATCAGTTATTATATTATATTTATTATATGGCCTCTAGTCTATTAAATAGCTGCCAATCCATGAAATATTACTGCTTGAACCGTTAATTGTAATACATGTATTGTTTCAATTATGTGCACCTTCAAGATTATTCTTCTTATAAACCTCCACCTTGACTACCTTACATTATTATTAAGATTAAATAAAGAATTTAATAAAAGTTAACCATTCTTATCTTGTCTACATTTAAGTAGTTATTATGTACATACTAGGATTAGTTTCCCTGAAATGCCCCAGCACGATAGTGGCTTTTCTTTGTGCCTAGCAACCCAAAATTGTAATTACACATTGTATCCTTTACAAAGAAATGAAATCTTTATTCTTTACAACTCCACTCTTACAATGCTAGTTAAAAAATATTTATATCAACTTTTGAAAATTTTAATACTTTTGTATTATAGGTAAGGATGGAACAGATTCACTGAGAACTATCTACTTCCTGTTTCCAATTCTCTAATTCACAAAGCAGAAAAACAATGTATCATTACTAACCTTTATCATCTGGTTTGTTATACAGCAAATTTGTGAGTCAGAGTGTCGAGGCAAATGAGACCCGCTCACTCTTGTTATGCCGATGTCACTGTAGATTTCAGAGCTTTCACTGATGTCTATACTCCAGTTACAATTCCCTTCCTCCCATCTGTAATTTAATGAACATAAAGACTACTGCTACTTCCTCCATATAAGAGGCTATAAATAATTTGAATATAAAAAGCATTTAATGCAAAGCTAATCGACAATTGGACAGAAAAACCTTTGATCACTTTTCAGTCCATCCTGAATCATTAGCAACTCACAAGTGTTGTTTTATTGTCTGGCATGGTACTGTGAATTTTATTCTTCATCTTTTAACAATTACACAAAGAGCAGAAGTGATCTGCATGTAGGAAATACAGTGCCTGCACTATGAAGAAGGGGTTAGGATGTTATAGTTCAAAGGGTCATTTGAATTGTGAAGTCTGTGTGCTTTTGCCTTGCAAGTGAATGAATGATGGTTAATTTTTTTGTTATTGTTGTTGTTGTTGTTTGAGATGGCCAGTGTATTAGGAAATTTAAGCAAAAATTAACTTATGTAAAAATATGTTCAACTAATTCAGATTAATGAAAAGACAAAATTGTTCTACTGAAAAGTGCTCTAAATATCTACTAAAAAAGTTGCAGGAAAAAATTACTGTATAACACACCAATTTTTTTTTTTTTAACACATTGGGCATTTTCCAGGGTGACCCGAAAAGAAAGAAAAACCCCAAAAGAAAGAAATAACTATCATCATCATTCAACACTTTCACCATCACTCATACATAATCACTGTCTTTGAAGAGGCGTTCAGATATGACAGCTTAGATGTCCCTCCAAACTGCCGATATCCCAAACCCCTTCTTTAAAGTGCAGGCATTGTACTTCCCACCTCCAGAACTAAAGTCCAGCTAACAGATTTCCCTGAATTCCTTCACAAAATATTACCCTGCTCATACTCCAACAGCTCGTCAGGCCCAAATACCATTCATCGCCATTCACTCCTATCAAAAACGCTCACGCATGCTTGCTGGAAGTCCAAGCCCCTCGTGCACAAAACCTCCTTTACCCCCTCCCTCCAACTTTATCAGGGATGACCCCTACCCCGCCTTCCTTCCTCTATAGATTTATATGCTTTCCAAATCATTCTACTTTGTTCCACCTCAACAGCCCCTTTTCAGCCCTCTGACTAATACTTTTAGTAACTCCACACCTCCTCCTAATTTCCACACTATGAATTCTCTGCATAATATTTACATAACACGTTGCCCTTAGACACGACATCTCCATTGCCTCCAGCCACCTCATCACTGCAGCATTTACAACTCATGCTTCACACCCATATAAGAGTGCTGGTATCACTATATTCATACATTCCCCTTCTTTGCCTCCATGGATAACGTTCTTTGTCTCCACAGATACTTCAATGCATCACTCACCTTTTTCCTTCATCAGTTTTATGATTAACCTCAGCCTTCATAAATCCATCCACTGACAAGTCAACTCCCAAATATCTGAAAACATTCACTGCCATACTCCCTCCCTCCAATGTGATATCCAATTTTTCTAACTAATTTATGACTGAAAAAATAAAAATGATTCACATACATCATCAACATACACGAACCTACAGTGCTACCACTCATAAATTAACCTGTCTTCATTTTATTACATTAATTTTGTTCTTCCAACATTATTTTCTGAATGCCCCAATGTTAACTTAACAAATGTAGTACCACAGTATTTTCTTAATTTTATGATCCATAAACCTATAAAAATGTTATTTTACATGTATTAGTTTTAACACATTGGCCATTTCCCACCAAGGCAGGGTGGCCCAAAAAAGAAAAACTTTCATCATTCACTCCATCACTGTCTTGCCAGAGGCATGCCTACATTACAGCTATAAAACTGCAACATTAACACCCTCCTTCAGAGTGCAGACACTGTACTTCCCATCTCCAGTACCCAAGTCCAGCCTGCCGGTTTCCCTGAATCCCTTCATAAATGTTACCTTGCTTACACTCCAACAGCACATCAAGTATTAAAAGCCGTTTGTCTCCATTCACTCCTGTCTAACAAGCTCATGCACGCTTGCTGGAAGTCCAAACCTCCTTTACCCCCTCCCTCCAACCTTTCCTAGGCCGACCCCTACCCCCCTTTCCCTCCATTACAGATCTGTATACTATTGAAGTCATTCTATTTCGTTCTGTTCTCTCTACATGTCCAAAGCATCTCAATAACCCCTCCTCAGGCCTCTGGATAATAGTTTTGGTAATCCCACATCTCCTAATCTCAAAACTACTGACTCTCTGCATTACATGTATTCACACCACACACTGCCCTCAGACATGACATCTCCACTGCCTCCAGCCTTCTTGTTGCAACATTCACAACCCATGCCTCACAACCATACAAGGGCATTGGTATAACTATACTCTCATACATTCCCTTCTTTGCTTTCATGGATAAAGTTCTTTGTCTCCACAGACTCCTCAGTGCACCCCTCGTCAATTCTATGATTCACCTCATCCTTCACAGACCCATTTCCTGACACGTCCACTCCCAAATATCTGAACACATTCACCTCCTCCATACTCTCTCCCTCCAATCTGATATCCAATCTTCCATTACCTAATTTTTTTGTTATCCTCATCACCTTACTCTTACCTTATATATACTTTTAACTTCCTTCTTTTACATACCCTACCATACTCATCAACCAACCTCTGCAACTTCTCTTCAGAATCTCCCAAAAGCACAGTGTCATCAGCAAAGAGCAACTGTGACAACTCCCACTTTGTGTTAGATTCTTTATCTTTTAACCCCACACCTCTTGCCAACACCAAAGCATTCACTTCTCTTACTACTCCATCTATAAATGAACAACCAAAGTGACATCACACATCCATTTCTAAGGCCTACTTTTACTGGGAAATAATCCCCCTCTTGCCTACATACTCTAACCTGAGCCTCACTATCCTCATAAAAACTTTTCACTGCCTTCAATAACCTACCTTCTATTCCATACATTTGCAACATCTGATACATTGCCCCCTTATCCACCCTATCACATGCCTTTTCCAAATCCATAAATCCCACAAAAACCTCTCCACCCTTATCCAAATACTGTTCACCTATGTGTTTCACTGCAAACACTTGGTCTACACACCCCCTACCTTTCCTAAAGCCTCCTTGTTTGTCTACTATCCTGCTCTCCATCTTACTCATAATTCTATCAATAATAACTAACATACACTTTACCAGTTATACTCAACAGACTTATTCCCCTATAATTTTTACACTCTCTTTTGTCCCCACTGCCTTTATACAAAGGAACTATGCATGCTCTCTGCCAATCCCTAGGTACCTTACCCCCTTCCATACATTTATTAAATAAAAATGCTAACCACTCCAAAACTATGTCCCCACCTGCTTTTAACATTTCTATCTTTATCCCATCAATCCCAGCTGCTTTACCCCCTTTCATTCTACCTACTGCCTCACAAACTTCCCCCACACTCACAACTTGCTCTTCCTCACTCCAACACAATGTTATTCCTACTTGCCTTATAAATGGAATCACAGCTTCTCTATCTTCATCAACATTTAACAATTCCTCAAAATATTCCTTCCATCTTCCCGATACCTCTAACTCTCCATAAAAATGTACACATAACAATTTGGGATTCAATAAGGTCATATATCACTTATGGTGCAAGAATAGTATGAATTATTATTATTATAATGGAAATAATTAAAATGCATTTTTCTTAATTCAGATGGGTGTATAGAGACCAAGCCTGGGACAACCTGGTGATGGTCTCCCCAAGGTCGGTGGTGGAGTTACAGTGGTTTTGTTTTCACTGAAGATATATAATTTCACTCCATCTCACAAAATTTATGAGCAAAGCAGCAAATTCCATTTTGAGTTTGGCAATATTTATAAATACAGGTACAATATATAGTATTTTTATGTGATATTCCAGCTGTCAAATTTTAAACAAATTGAAATCTAGTATTTTGGGGGGATAAGAATGTTTCCCCCTGAATTAAGAAAAGTGTGCTTCCATTTGAGACTATAAAATATTGTATCTGTTAACACTCAGCTTTCAATTTACAAAACTACGTGATAATAAGGTAAAAAAAAGTCAGTTAACAGTACAACACTACAATTTTATAAGTTATTGTAAATTTTTTGAGCAATGACAAATATTAAATATTACAGAGCAGCAACATGGTAGAACTAATAAGAGATTCACAACAAAGGCTCTAAATACTCATAAGAACTACTGAAAGAAATTACAGTAAACCTTTCAAAAGTCTTGGCATTAGGCAGAAAGTTTTGAAAATTTTGATATTTTAAATTACCTATTATCTTCAGGAATGAAGAGAATAATGTTATCATCTCTTGTATGATAAGCCATAATCTTGCAAAAAAATGGAACAATCTCACAAATAAAGATGGAACAATCTCATAAACATAGAAGGGGTAATCTCACAGACATAGATAGGGAGGGCAATCTCAAGTCTACAGTAACTGAAACCAAACTAACCAAGAGCTAGAGCTCAGTTCACACACACTCATGCAAGTACAGGTAGGCCATCACTAATCCGGCAATCAGTTATCTGGCTCCATCAGTAATCCAGCACTAATATCAGCTAGCATAATTTCAAATTTCATCATTATACTGACTCAAATTTCATCATTATACTGACTCAGAAATTGCAGAGGGTTGTAACTCTACAGCAGCAAGCCAGTGGAGGAGAAAGCAGTGATGAAAATGAGGAAGATGTAGCAGAAAGTCTCAATTGATAGGTTAATTAAGTGTATTCTAACCTAACCACTCTGTAATCCGGCAAACTCACTAATCCGGCACACTACAGGTCCCAATGATGCCGGATTAGTGATGGCCAACCTGTAATTACACACAAGCTTTAACAACAATCACATACTACAAATACAGAGGGTAATCACAAATGTATAATTGCACAAGGTAACTACACAATAGCAGTAGTAGTTTATAATTTTTGTTGACCTTACTTAGCTTTTGCAGCAGATATGTGCTCAGCAAGAAACTCACAGCCAGATGGCCTGTGCTTCTCTAGAATATAACTGGAAAAAAAAAAATACAGTATACTTTACACAAGAAAACACTACAGTTTTTTTTTTTTTTAGTAGAGCTTAATGAATAATGTAGGAATTATGAACCTTCCAAATTACTGTATACCTCTTTTTCCAGTATCTGGATTTCCCTATGAATTTTTGATTAATTACATACCTTCCTCCTTCCATTCTCTCTTGTAGATAGCTCTTATATCAGGGAGGTAAGGAAGAAAAAGTAAGTATATATGATAAGTTTTTACAGTGTGAACACATACAGTAAATGGAAAAAGAGAAAGATTAAATAAGCAGTAAGGGAGTGCAAAAGAGGAACCAATGAGAAAACTGGTGTGTATCAAAAACTTCTGCTGAGAATAAAAAACAGTTTTGGAGAAATTAACAAGTTGAAAAAGTCTGGATAGCAAATGAACCTGGCATTTAATAGAAAAAGAAGAAAGATATGAAATAAGGAGGTGGAGGTAGTGGAAGGACGGAGAGAATATTTTGACAAGTTATTAAATGTTGATGACAAAAATGTCTAGGCAATGAAAGATTGGATAACAGATTGCTGAGAGGGAGTATGGAAGATGTGAATATATATTTACATATTTAGGAGTGGATATATCAGCAGGAAGGTCAGATAGAGACTGTAAGTGAACCACAGATAGATCAGGGGTAAAAGAAAGTTGTAGTGTTGAGGCATCTGGAAAAGGAAGTTTATCTAGAAAGGAAAAAACAGGGAAATGGTATCAAACACTTTCCTGTAAGTGCAAAGCACAAACTTCAAATGTTGAGGAGGAGGAGAGGAGGAGGGGAGGAGGAGGAGGAGGAGGAGGAGGAGGAGGAGGAGGAGGGAGGAGGAGGGGGGAGGGAGGAGGAGGGGAGGAGGAGGAGGAGGAGGAGGGGAGGAGGAGGGAGGAGGAGGAGGAGGAGGAGAGAGGAGGAGGAGGAGGAGGAGGAGGAGGAGGAGGGAGGAGGAGGGAGGAGGAGGAGGAGGAGGAGGAGGGAGGAGGAGGAGGAGGGAGGAGGAGGAGGAGGAGGAGGAGGAGGAGGAGGAGGAGTGAGGAGGAGGAGGAGGAGGAGGAGGGAGGAGGAGGAGGAGGAGGAGGAGGAGGAGGAGGAGGAGGAGGAGGAGGAGGAGGAGGAGGAGGAGGAGGAGGAGGAGGAGGAGGAGGAGGAGAGGAGAGGAGGAGGAGAGGAGCGAGGAGGAGAGGAGCGAGGAGGAGGAGGAAGGAGGAGGAAGGAAAGTGAGGAAGGGAAGGAGGAGGAGGAGGAGGGAAGGGAAGGAGGAGGAGGAGGAGGAGGAGGAAAGGAGAGGAGGAAGGAGAAGGAGGAAGGAAGGAGAAGGAGGAAGGAGAGGAGGAAGGAGAAGGAGGAAGGAGAAGGAAGGAAGGAGGAAGGAGGAGGAAGGAGAGGAAGGAGGAGGAGGAAGGGAGAGGAAGGAAGGGAAGGAGGAAGGAGAAGGAGGAAGGAGAAGGAGGAAGGAGGAAGGAGGAGAGGAGGAGGAGGAGGAGGAGGAGGAAGGAGGAGGAGGAAGGAGGAAGGAGGAGGAGGAGGAGGAGAGGAGGAGGAGGAGGAGAGGAGAGGAGGAAGGAGGAGGAGGAGAGGAGGAGAGGGGAGGAGAAGGAGGAGAGGAGAGGAGGAGGAGGAGAGGGAGGAAGGGAGGAGAGGAGGAGGAGGAGGAGGAGGAGGAAGGGAGGAGGAGGGGAGGAGAGGAGGAGGGAGGTGGAAGGAGAGAGTGAGAGAGAAGGTGAGTGAGGAGAAGGGAGTATTGAGGAGAGAGAGAGGAGAAGGAGGAGGAAGAGTGAGGAGGAGAGGAGGAGGGAAAGAGGAGGAGGAGGAAAGGGAGGAGGAGAGCAGGAGTTGTGGAGGGAGGAGGGGAGAGAGGTTAATGAGGAGGCAGAGGAAGGAGGAGAGGATTTAGGGGTTGGAACTAGTAGAGAGACATGCATTGAGAGAGTGTATGTGTAGTATTAACAGAGATAAGAAAGGTATAATTTAGAAAGCAGAGGAATGATGGTTTAAGCATTTAGGGGATGAAGCAGAATAGGATGACCAAAAGGGTATAAAGGTTTAGAACAGAAGAAAAAAGTGGTATAGGAGTCATCCCAGGAAAGGTTGGTGGAAGGGGGGTAAAGGAAGTTTTGGGTGGTAGGGGCTTTAGCATCCGCCACATGTGTAAGCATATGAGATCAAACGGAGACAAGTGGGTTTATGGCTTGACATGCTGTTGGAGTAACAGCAGGTAAGAGTGAGAAGGGTTGCATTTGAGTGGAACTTGCACAGTAAGAGTAAGGAGGGTTATCAAAGTTTATTGCTTGGGTAGCCTTAAGAATGAGTTGGATAAATTTTTGTTACAGGGCTTGGGTTTGAGAAGGACTTTCCCAGTATGGGCTGGTAGGCCTGTTGCAGTGTTCCTTCATTCTTATCTTTTTTTTTTTAACATGCTGGCCGTTTCCCACCAAGGCAGGGTGACCCAAAAGGAAGAAAAACCCAAAAGAAAGAAAAACAGTTTCACCATCACTCATACATAATCACTGTCTTTGCAGGAAAACTGGTTAGCTAGATTAGAGTCCTAGAGGTGGAAAGTACCGTGCCTGTAGTCTGGAAGAAGGGTGTGGATATTGCAGATCAGAGGCTCAACTGAACTGATATGTCTATATTCAAGGTATTGAATGAATGATGATGAATGTGTTACATCAGGCCCGACAGTCAGTGTGATAAACAAAGAAAAAAGGTTTCATAGTCCAGATTGTGTTGGGTCATCAGGGTCCCACAAGATATGTATAACCTTTTCTAGAACCTTAATCTATTCAGGAAAACCCCCAATGTTCAAAGTCTTTTATCAAGAAAAGGCAACCTAAGCCCAATATCAAAGAAAACCTCTTTCATTCCATTTGTCATCAGTCCCTGTTAGTAAGGGGAGATTGGAGGGCCTAATGCTGCTGGAGTAGTTACCCATAAGAGGTGGATAAGGTGAGAGCCCAGGATGTTTGCACTTACTAAATTTGAAATCACAATTTCTGTACAGTATTAGCAAAAGGTGACTAAGTGTTGCTAACTATTATTGATAAATAACTTTTATTCACTGAACAATCCTCCATAAGTTTTAACATGATTTACAGCATGCCAAATCACAACTTGCCTAATCATGTCTGTTATGATTATTTATGCCCAATACTGACATACCATAAATATTATGCACATACACAAATAACCTGCACACAGGAGACTAAAACTTATGACGATGTTTTGGTCCACCTTGCACCATTAATTAGTCACACAGAAGTATGAAGGGAAGGGAGCCTTTATACAGTGAACCCCTGGTATTCGATGGCATCGGTATTCGATAAATCCGGTATTCGATGCATTACATCGCAAAAAATTTTCCTCGGTATTCGATTGAAAACCCGGTATTCGATACGATTCGTACAAGACCTGTCCACATGTGGCCTGAACTGCCCCTCGTGTGCCAGTGTTTACAAGCCAGCCAGTGTGCACGCATCTAAGGATACATTCGGTACATTCCATATTATCCATTTAATCACTGTGTTTGGTGCTTGTTTCTGCAAAATAAGTCACCATAGGCCCCAAGAAAGCTTCTGTGCCAACCTGTGGTAAAATAGGAGTTGAGAATTAGAATGGATAATTAAGAAAGATTTGAAGGGTAGGGCAGGCATAACCCTGAGAAGCTATTTACCAGTTGTGCCTACTTCAAAAATTAAGGAATGTGTGCACAAGTGGTTTGAAGTGCAAACCTTATGGATGCATAATCACCCTTCACAGCTATTACAATGACAATGTTGTGGCCCATTTAGACAATCATAAAAACCGGGAGTACAGTGCTCTATGGATAGATTGTTGTGCGACCAGAGGCTCAGTGACCTCTCAAGTGGTTAGATGGACATTAAAAGAAGAAGGGTAGGTAACCCTGGAAAATGGACTTGGCTACCTCAAGTCCTAGGAAAGAGGGAATCCCCTTTAAAACTAAAACTCTCCCTCCACATTCCCATCAATTCTTCACCAGAATCTTCAATAAAGGTAAGTGTCAATTATTTTATTGTAGTTGTCATGATCTCACTGTGCAGTAAACTTATATTTCAGTAGTAAATTTTTTTTCATACTTTTGGGTGTCTTGCACGTATTAATTGATTTCATTATTTCCCTCTACGAGGAAAATTGATTCGCGTTTTCGATTTATCGTATTCGATGAGCTTCAGGATATTCAAAGGTTAAGTATCGAATACGGGGTCCATGTATATCAGAAAGAAGGCAGGCGATAGAAGAATAATGAGATGGAGGAGGAACAGTTTTATTAACCCTTTGACTGTCGCGTCTTATTGTTCTCATTAGGAATTGATCGTGTTTGACGTATCTATAGGCATAAATTCTAGGGGCCTTCAATCAGCAGAGAAGCTGGTAGGCCACATGTGAGAGGAATGGGTCTCATGGTCAGGTGACATATAAAAAAAATTGGAGCCAGTGAGTTGCATTGTGGGAATACCATTTCAGTCGTACCTTTTTCGCATGTCTAGCGGTAAGAAATATGTGAACTTCCCTGCAAATTGGGACTTTCTCTTCCCAAGTGATGCTCTTAACACAGATGGAAGTGTCATTGAAGATCATTTCATGTTTTCGAGGCGTAGTTGTGACAAAGCAATGGACGCGTTAGAGGAGCGAGGAGGAGGAGAGAAAGAGAGGAGAGAAGAAGAGGAGGAAAGGAGGAGGAGGAGAGAGAGGAGGAGGAGGAGAGGAGGGGAGAAGGAGGAGAGGAGGAAGGAGGGAGGAGGAGGAAGGAGGAGGAGGAAGAAGGAGGAAGGAGGAAGAAGGAGGGAGGAGGAGAAGGAGGGAGGAGGAGGAGGAGGGAGGGAGGAGGAGGAGGAGGAGGGAGGGAGGAGGAGGGAGGAGGAGGAAGGTGGAAGGAGGAGGAGGAGGAGAGGAGAGGAGGAGGAAGGAGGAGGAGAGGAGAGGGAGGAGAGGAGGGGAGGAGGAGGGGAGGAGGAGGAGGAGGA